GTGCACTTCTACTGAGATGATGTACTATGAGAAATGTGTTGAAGAAACCATTTACCACAGGCAGTGAGATTTATTCCATCCAGCATATCCTGCTACATGACGCACATGCATAAAGAAAATGTGCGAAAGATGATCTCTAGCAGATTGAAAAGCCTCAACGAGTCCAGAAATTAATATAAACACTCAAGGTTTTTAAATAACTGTCGAATGAAAAATCAATTTTTTTAAATGAATATTATAAAATAAGCTCGTTACTAAGGAAAATTCAAATTCTAATATTCATGCTCAAATTTTTCGGAAAATGGTTCTAAGTTTATTAATCAAGAGGACCTTTTTGAGCATATCTTATTCACTACTGTAGATTATATCGTCAGAAAGAAACCACAGCGTTAGTATCATTTTGTTCTTAACAGGATGAACTGGCAGACCATTTCAATGAGAGTAAATTAATGTTTGCTAATATCCATTACCATTGTGGATTTTAACCACAAGAGAAGGAGAAATGAACCTTCGCTATGAGTTCTAAGTTCACTTCCCCTCTTAAATATTTGTACAACTCATTCAATGTTGCAATAGCTCAATGGAATATTTTGGCGGCATCATGGAGCGGATCGCTACTCTAGTAAAACCTGATTGACTCAGAAATCTCTGTGGTAGAATCACCTACGTCTGGTTAAACTCCCAGAACTAACTAAGCTATATCCCAGCTATAGAGAAAACAGAATTATAGCACGGAGCACGTTATTCAGTAAGTATTTTGTGGGTGAAGTGTCACTCAGGGAGCTTAGTCTTAACCAGCATGGCTGATTAGGTCAAAAAACGAGACTTCTGATTTCCCACTGGTTGCACGGTAGCTTCACACGGAGTTGTTCGGCCGTACCTTCTGATCCCCGCGTGCGTGCATGCGATGACGCATTGAGCCATGACGTGCTCATGATCATTAATCAATTGTGAGCTTTAAGTCTTTTCTACAGACGAATTGTTCAAGTGATTATATGTAATTGAATTACTATAGCCTCAATATTACGATAGGAGATTAGAAAAATGTTTAATTGGCAAGGGGCTTTAATCATGAGCTCCAAAATAGTTTCAAACTTGAGTTTTTAATATAGTGATGAACTTCAAATATATAGCGACAATTATCTAAATATTTCGAAAAAAGTCTTATTTAAAACTATTCTATGATAATGGAAGGTAAACTTCTAATCAATGTACCTTGGAAAATGTGACAAAGCATGTTTTGTAATACTTATTTTATATCCAAATTAATTTGGTATTGGAATTTCACAAAAGGGGCAATATAGGTGTGTTAATTAAATCAAAACGCAAAATGAGTGAATACGATTTTAATGTAATTGCAAAATGTGGATAATAAGCCCTCGTCTGAGGCTCTAGTAATCAATGCATACAAATGAAAAGCAAGTTGGAATAAACATCAAAGTCGTCTAATCATTGTCAAACAGATTTTTGCTATTGGAATCACCTTGCAATTTCGTAGTAAATTGAACAAATAAGGTGTCAGTTGATTACCACATTTCAAAGCGTTTATCGACGATAAACTTTAAGTGGAGCTCAAACCTATAAACTTGTCTATCACGGGATACGAGTTTACATTTGGGTGGCCACCTCTTTAAATGATAAGTTATATTGCTTGCTGCCATTCTAAAAAGATTAGCTAATTCATTTTAACTTGATTAAACGAGAATATGAGTTGAAAGTGATTCCTCATTCTCCAATGTAATGATTAGGGTGATGAAGCTTTACGATAACAAATATGTAACTAATTAATAGAGGGAGAAATGTGATGTGCTGATATGAGTTGTAATAACTCGACTCCTATCCAGTCGTCTCAAAATTAACTCAAATATGTTTCAAACCTACTCCTCCCTTATCTCATGATTTAGTTTGCCTACTTTTACGACCGATTAGTTTTTGCGCGCGTCTTAATCAGTGTGTTGATTTTTAACATTCATATAAGACTTGTGCTAATCACCACTTGAGTGAGGGCACAACAAATGGTACTGAAGCCACAATCTAAATTGAATAAGATTGTACTACCTATTTATCTATAATATGGGGTGCGTGATAGACTTACCTCCACGTGGTGCACCTTGGGCAACGTAAACTCATACAACAAAAAGTCTATTAACTGGCAGTTGACTTCTCACTTTAAACAACCATCACCTCACTATATGTCCTATTCGACTACTTCCATAGTACTCTCCTCACCTTTTTTCCTACCTTTGTGTTTGTCTCTTTTACATCTTTGAAATACTCTTCTGTCCCCCCTCTCAACTTTTTTTCAATTTGATGTATCTTCCTGTCTGTAAAGCCTGAAGTCAACTAATGGGCTAATGATAACCATCAAGACGCCTGCCATTTGACATAATAATAATGTTTAGATAATTGGATTAGCATACCCTTTTAAACTTTTGCTCACTTAATCGCACAAGTTGAGGCTAAAAAGAGCATGTGCGGAGAAAATACGCCCACTTTGGAACCTTTTGTCACTGACTTTCGATCGTCTAAACACCTCTAAGTGGTAGGAGGATGTTTGCTTGCTTGTAAATATTTATGTCTGTAGGGTGACACATATGAAACATATTTAGGCACGATCCTCCATTAATGAGATCATTATAGTTTCAAGCTTGATCGACCATATTCGATTAGTGTTATTGCAATTTATTTGGATTGAGTAATGAATGCAGTTAACGAATTTACATTTTGGCTTAGAAACCAAAGTGGAAGGTGGTTTGTTTGGTTAGAAGCATGAACAAATTTGTAAATGGACTTTTGATTGTGAAGAAATCAAGTGATAAGTTATATTACTATAAGGATTTATTTCCAATCAACATGAGAAGAACTTGCCAGTGAAATACTCTTCCTTATTCTATTAATTGTCTGAAATGTTACAAACTAAGGACGAATTGCAGATTGGATCGACAGTAAACATCAATGAGATTAATTATTCCTCATTTAAATTGATGCATATTAGTTATCGATTTAGACACGTTTAGTTATTTGAACAATAATAGACGCCTAGAAGAACTCGTTACCGGCAAAGTCAGGAATTTGATTCCAAAACGCCACTGCAAATCTCTTTGGTCATTTACATGTATTAAGATAGGCAGTTAGTAAGTGCAAAGACTATAAGTGGCTAAATAGATAGGGAAAGTCAATATTTTGCAGTTTATAACACAGTCAGTCCGACAAGCTTATCATTGCACATAATGTTTCTGGAGTTATACTAACCAAGAAAGATTTGGCACTGTTGTTTACTGGCTGACCTCAGAGCTTCGAGAATCAGCCATGTTTCACACAAAGTCACAAGCAAATGTGGGCACGTGAATAGCCCTTTAGCCCACACATAAACCACAAATATCCGCCACGGTCTTGCAACAGAATAAATAAAGTCATTCAAGTTCTAATGTTAGCTTTCCATAAACAGTAAACAACTGTGAATCTGTTGTTACTAGCAAGCGATTTCGTGAAAGTGCTGAAAGTGACGGAGACTCCTTTTCACTTTCCAGTATGTGATTATCATTGTTTGCTGTGAAAACATACTGGCTTACCATGGATTCTTAAATCAGCAAAAACTTTTGACTCCATGACTCAATTCCCTCTCCCATTCGTTATTAAATTAACTTCATATATTTCCTACTTAGTCACAGTTTAGTTTTGATGAACCAGATGAGCTTCAGCTCAGCAAGCTTTCTTGGGCCTTTGCTGAGAAGTTCCAACAGAAAAATTGTACGCATGGTGACATATTTGTCTCAACTGCTCAATTTACCAGATGATGACACTTTGTCAGTTGCTCAGCCTAGTCGCCACATCAGCGCACTTCATTGATCCTCATCCCCTACTCTCGTTTTCATTTTAGTGGTTATAGAGTAATAGTTAACAAAAGTATAGAACTAGGATGCTTGAGAACAATGTGGGAAACGGTGAGTGTTATTTGATGTGAATATTTGATTAGCGCGTTGTTAAGTCAATTTTCCTACCTGCTGAAAGAGAGTTTTGCTTTGAATCGCTTTGAAATGGGGCATACAGCTCTAATACGTTTGAAATAACAGGATGAACATTGAATTTGAATTAACATTACACTGAAAGTCAAATAAAGAAAATGAATTGTTTTAACAAATGCCTTGTGCAAATATTCAGGGCGTTTATTAAGTTATCAAAATGTGATGTTTGAGGACATTGTTGCGTTGGTAAATCATGTTTCCTACCTGCTTAAAGGGGTTAATATTGATGTCACTTTAAGGAGGTACATGGATGCCAAACAAGTTTAAAATAAAGACCGAAAAATTTTTCATTTCACTATATATTCTTTCGTTCTTTGGATATTGATTCATCACTTTCCATTGGAAATTGAAGAAACAGCTATGAGACTTTGAGATATAACTTCAGTCCTATATGTTTTCTCAACAACGGAAATCAAAGCCTCGGGGTGTGAAGAGTGGAATGAAGACACTTTCATCTTTTAAAGGGTAAATGCGTCCACGATGAGTCAATTTCGTGTATTACACAAACCGTTTCATTGAAATCTTTGATTAGAAAATAGAGAACGACTTTACCACTGAGATTTTATTGCGAATATAGTTTATGAGGTTTCTTTCGCACCCGTGTTCTCAAATTTCCCATCAACCCATCACTTCAATGCACGTGAGTTATTTACCTTTTATAAGTCTGTGTTTATCCTATCAGTCTTTACATTAACGATGTAAAGAAGAGGCATAATTGAAACCTTTAACTCTAATTGAGTTTTGCGAATTGATAAAGGCACCAGTACAATCTGATTTCGCTAGCCAATCAAACATGTTGATAGTGCGAAACATGACCTCTAAGAGAATCGTTCAAAACAGTATAAATTTGTTTGCAACGTGGCCACTAAACTAGGACGTGAAGTATAGGTGAGCTTTTCACTAAGTGAAAAAACTTCTAATATATAAAAATAATTGTAATTTCAAATTTGAAGTCCTGTTGCTTTCTAGAACAAAATGTGTGGACCAAAGATCATCACCCACGACGACTTTAATGCGGGCTTTTTAGAAGCATCAATAAAAACTTATGGTGGGTTTTGCATGCTTTATTTTCTCAAAACTTTGATCCACCCAACCAGTGCATTTACTCTTACTACATAAGTGTGTTCATAACACGGTTTGTATATGTACAATAATCATGGATCTTCTTCCTTTTTCTTCTGTGCACATATTTTGAATAGGAAACGGTGGAAACTATGTCGCTTCACCAATGAGCGTTCTCGTGTTGATGTCTGCTCTCCTCACTGCCAAGGGACCACAAAATGATACGGCAACAGAGATCTGCGAAGCTCTTGTTGGAAGGACCAAGAAGCACACTTGCACTGATGAAGCAGACTACAAAGAAGTAGTAAGCCTACTGGAAAAAATTCGCACTGTTGTTGAGACAGCAAAGTCACCTGAAGGGAAGAGTGCATTGAAAATTTCGAATGCTGCTTTCATTGAAGAATCACTACTAGTTAAAGATCTTTTCATCAAAAAATTCACCTACTTTCATGGAGATACAGTAAAGAGAACTCGGTTTAACAATTTAGATGCCTTTGAAAACATAAATAAATGGGCAAATACAGTTACGGATGGATTGATTCCGAGGTACCTGAATTCAAAAGATGAACTACCTGAGGACACCTTGTTGGTTTTATTGAATGCCATAACTTTTAAGGGTAAGATAAATTACCCCCTTTCTTTCATAGTACCTTTCATTTAGATGAGTGGGCCGAACCATTTTATTCTAATTTTACATCCCATCGCAACTTCCATTTAAGCAAAGATGAAACCATTCGAGTTCCAATGATGGACATGGAAAGCGATATGTATTATTTTGAGGATGAGGTCTGTAAGGTCGTAAACAAGCCTTTCAGAGTAAGGACAATTTTATCTCCCTTCGTCAATCTAACTCAGGGATATCTAACTAAATAATGATTATTTACACACTTTAATTACAGGATTCAAGATTCAGCTTTGTTATTTACTTGCCCAAAGAAGATTTCGAGTTGAAAGATATTGAAGCTAAAATGGTGAAGGAAGATTTTGTGTGGCTCAAAGAGTCAGCTCATAAATTTTATGAACCAGTGCGCCTCATACTCCCAAAGTTTAAAGTGGAACACAGACTCGATCTCAAACCCATTCTTCAACTTCTTGGAATCCGTTCAATTTTTACAAGAGGAGTTGCTAATCTGAAAGGTGAGCAAAACATTCGAATCAAACCATTGATTCCCTACTTTGTTTTTTGGAACGTCTATTAATCTTTGCCCAATTTAATTAAGGTACTGAATAGGTGAGAAATCGAATGGTCTAATAAAATACGAAAGAGTGTAGGGGGTTTATCGTGAATCAGTGATACAAATGAAATCAATGTCTTTAGGTTTTTCAGCTTTCTTGTGCAATTTAAAATTTTTATGTTAAATTTTTAACAAATAGAACATCTTATATGCTCGAAAATCAAATCAACTTGCATTTAAAAATATTTATATGGCATTTTTACCATATGCAGTCTAACACCAGTATTAACCCTGTAGGAATAAGTTCTGATGTCGATCTATATGCCAGTGGCGCCAAACAGGTTGCCATGATGGAAGTCGACGAAGGAGGTGCCAGAGCGGCTGCTGTCACTGGAATTGAACTAAGTAGCAGATTTGGTTTTTCACCTACTCCTGAGTTATTTATTGTTAATCGACCTTTCTATTGTGCCATATTTGACAATCAATTGCAAATGCCACTGTTTATTGCTCGTATTGTCGATCCTCGCTAGTAAAACAAGCATGGCATTTTAAGGAACTCTGAAATCTTTGACAAAATCGAATCTTTTTTGAGCCTGTTAGTAAAATAAAATTTTTTGGCAATCATTTGATTTTTTTGAATCGTATTGAGCCATATCCTCAAAAATGAGACAATGTGCAAACCCTATCCAAAATTACAAATAAACTAACCAATTCCGCCCGGACAAAATTCTTAAATAAACGTGAAATTTGGAAGCCTATACTTTTGTTTATCTGAGATCGCAGAAAAAGTTAGTACTTTCTGAGATTCTTGAATTACTTTCAGGCAAACACTGTCCAAACTTTAAGGAAGCATCTACAATTGATTTAGGTTATCGAGTATTGAAAGAAACCTCATTGAAAGGCGTCGAAGTTCCATAAATCTTCTGAGAGTGCAATAAGTGTTGATTTGTTCAAGAGAACAGGGCGTAAATTAAGCTGAAAATCGTGAACCTTAAGTGATGTACATTGGGAATTGGAAAATACCTCCTTGATATCAGGTTACAGTCGTAGGCTAATAAACCATAAACAGCTTTCTGCTTAGGCAATCACAAGCAATAAGCAAAATTTTTCCCAATTGACTTCCCACATACTGGAATCGGTGACTAAATTGGGCATTAATTCATTATTTTGATAAATTTGAGGCCGATAACTTTGGCTCTAAACTCTCATACTATAACCCTTCATAAATAAGCGAGTGTTTTCAATAAGATAATTTATGCAAATTACAATCTAACAGCGAACGCCATTTGAATTTAGTGGGAAAGGAGTTTAATTAGAAACTTCCCGCAACACAATTCGGAAAATGACAATATTTCCTACTTATTTATTCAAGTAGACTTTGTATTTGGTCAATGTTAGATACCCCTTTTTGGTTAAAAGGGGCAATACTTTGAATATAATTTTGATCGACTCTTATAAACATCATAACGATTTTGAAAACATCCATGGTTATTCGTTTATCCGCCGTAATAATTTTGTTTTCCGAGAAATCAAATTTTTGTTGGTGCTTTAAAATGCCTCATGCCAAAATGGTGACGAACAAGTTGGATGAAGTTGAACAAAAAGGAACAAAAAGGGGTTACAACTAGTTTTTTGGGATACCCGGCAACCATTGTTTGATCACAAGATAAAACTGTGTTTTTAGGCATGGCAACTTTAGTATTGTCAATCTCTTCATCCTCAGATGAGATTAGTATGTTTATTCAATGTGCTGTAATGGGAATAGCGGAAAGCTATGTCATTTAGAGGGAACAATTAGACATCATATTCCGTTTTACAGTTTATAGAATCTTTCTAAGAAATGTTCTATTTTAACGTAACAAGGTGTCAAGTTAAATTTTTATCGCTTACGTGGAAACATAAATAAATTCATCGATATATCTTGTTGTTTACTCAAGTGAAAAAGCAGATGAGAGATGGGGATAATAACCTCTTATATTAATGCGAAAGCTTAGAAATTTTTGAAAAGTCAACTTTCAATTATTTGAATTAACAGTTAGTACGGAAAAACTGCTACTGATAAAATGTATGGAAATCATAAATGACCGAACATTGATGATGTATTAACTCACTTTAATGTTTCTCCCCTCTGTGAAGTTCGAAGTCAGCTAATGGCTAATGATAACTATCAAATCGCCTGGCAGTTGAAATAAATATGTTGTAATAAACCAGCGAAAAGAAGTTCGGTTTGAAATCCACTACATCACAAACTAGATGATAACAAAATTTCCTCATGAAGAACATTCTGCCTACTTAATCATTCAAAAACATTGGTATTTGTTCAACTTAAGATGCGACTTTTGGAAAAAGATGCCACTATTTTGTTAACATTTTGTAGCTATTTCAAAACTATTCGCAATCCAACTGCAGAATACTCAAAAGGAAATAAGGTTAGTACCTATCACATTGCAGAATTTATATTTTTTTGGAAATTCAAACTTTGATTCGAAAATTTAAATTAGAATTGCCGAAGTGGTTACAAATACGATTGACGATCCAAAAAGAGGAGCAAAAAGTGGATAAATTGAGTGTTGCCAAGATTTCCATACAATTTCGTTAAATTTTATGTGGTATGAAATACAATTAGCGCATCCCGATCAGCATGTTGGAAAGTTTTAAGACAACTTAACTCACTTTTTAAGGCATTTTGTTCACGTAAGATGGGGGTTTTATTTTATTCCGGCAATATTTGATATTATATTTTGTTTAATCTTATTGATTATCAAATTAAATTGGGAATGCAAAGATCAAATATGGATATCCCGTTTCGCTTCAATATAAGATTTGTTAGCAAGGAATTAAAATTTTGGTTGGCAAGCAAATTATTTTAAGGTATTAATTCGTCAAAATCTAAATGGTTGAAAAGCAATTGATGATAGGAAAATTGGATCATAAAGTGATTATATTGAGTCTTAGCAGGACTACATTGGAATTTCATGCAATTTAAAGTAGAATCTAATATGATCAGAGCTCCTAAATCTGCTTTTTGGAATGTCCAAATGTGAAAGCCACGAACTGCGATCCAGAGGTAACTGAAAATACTTTTATGAGCAGCATAAACTAAGTGTTGTGCAAAATAGGTCCAAAGAAGCTGGAGAAGACATACAATCGGTCCGTGGTAGTGTACAGACTTTTTTTGCCGTAAGAGTAGGCGTTGCCCAATGAGCACCACGAGGAGGTAAATTTATCGCGCACTCCACACAAGTTAATATTTAACTGGATAAAAAGCCTGCTCAATTTCCAATACCAATGGGCCCTCTTTTAGGAAGCAATAAAGATTACCTTTGGACGCAAAGGTTAAATAAGCCACAAAGTTAATCGAAGTGCAACAAAATAATAGTAAGTCAATTTTGTGATTTATGATTTTTTCTCAGAGTGCGTTAAAAAATGTATGCACTTCCGCCAAGGGAACTTGAGACACAGTCCTCTAAATAACTTCTATAGAGCAAACATCAACTTTGTCAAAGAAGGCATTTCAAAATCACATGCACGTATCACATGCATATATCACAATAACAAAGTTCCTGAAATGAAGTGTTTTGCTATTCCAAGAAGTTTCTATTAAAAGCCATGATAGAGGCCATGTAAAACTTCGGAATATCAAACTCATATTTCTTGAAGATTTCCTGACTTGAAATGGAAATCATTAATTGAACCTCATCTCCCACCACCTCCAAGTCTCCTAATGCACATGCCATTGTGATATTCAACATTTTAATTCCTTTACTTAATAGATTAAAAGAGTCCTTCTTTGTTGTTTGCATTATCGTAATTATCACAAATTTGTCGTGTTAGGTGCCAAAATAGATACTGTATTAACATAAGTATTAACTGATCAGCTAATAGTTTTGCCTTGTTTGAATATTTTTAATTAATCATCTGAAATGCTTGCTTCTTTCGCAAATTCCACCTTCGAAAATTTTTTTTTATCAAGAGATTGAAAAATGCTGGAATCGGCTGAACTTTATTTTTAGGCTCTTCAATTAATCGCGTGCAATTCATTAATACCGATAGGTGAGATGCTATTTAAGTATAAAACGTTAACTTTAATCAATCTTTTGATCACAAACAAGAACTCAGAATTTCTGCTTTCAAGCTTACCAAAATGGATTCATAAATTAATTTATTTGTTTTGAACGATGTCTCTACTGACGATCGGGTTCTTTGATTTCTTCAGGTTCAGATTGGAACCAATGTCGTTAATTAGGCAAATTAAAATGAATATGAGGTATATATTTATAGGGAAAAGTGCTGGTCATGGTTATAGTGTTTCATATATTTATTATTTATTTCTAAAGTTCCAACAAATCTGCTCTAAGCATTTTTAATTTGCAGTATGCAAATGCATATTATGAAGATAATGTTCTTTACAATTTGGCATTATTGCATAAATTCACTGGGTATCAATCAAAAAGCATTTTTCTGCACCATCTATTATAAAGCATTATTATTTACATGTTACAGAAAAAAAAACTAATTTTGCCAGCAAAATGAGGGCTAATGGTGTATTGATAAACTATACAACTGTAGAGTACTTGTCGAATAGGCTCGATAACAAAGAATATTTCATCACCAATGGCTAGGCAAACTATTATTCAATCCTTTCATTATATGGAAGCATCTCAATTAAGAGAGTACGGGATGTGAAAAAGAGAAGACTCTTAAAGCCGCTTAGTTAATTTACTTCAATTTAAGAGAAGAGTAAGTTTGGATAAAATTTTCCTATTTCATTTTCCGATGTTCGCATCGCAGTATTTCCCAAGTGATTTGAGCGCAATCCTCACAAGTATTTTTTCTTTGTTACTAAAACTGCAAAACGGTATGGGCACTAAGAAATGCGGAATAGGAAGACTTTAAGTTACATATTCTTTTTACCGAATTTTAAATATTGTTAATTATCGTGAATATTTACACATTTCAAAAAATTGTAGTTCAGAGGAATTTTGGGACCTATAGCACCAGAAAAATCTGTTCATCACAAGAATAATGTTAATGAATTATACAGGCAAAATCTGTTTTTGTTGAAATTTAAATAATTTTTAAAAATTTGGCTCAAATCATTTTAAAACATTTGGTTATTGGAGTATCCAGGCCTGATAGTCAGTGAATATCTGAGAATGGGAACGTTATCATAATAGCTTTTGGCATCACACAGAGGGGAGGAGTATCAAAGTCATAAAAAGTCGAGAGTGGAACGGAAGAGTGATTAACAGAATTAAAAGACAGACACAAAGGTAGAGAAAAAAGGTAAGTTGAGTATTGTTAAAGAGCTCTAATATGAAATACAGTCGGGTCGTGGTAGTTTGAAGTCAGATGTCAACTGCTGGTATATAGACTTTGTTGCCGTAAGTGTATACTTTGCCCAGGGTCCACCACGTGAAGTAAGTCAACCACACTACACTACACTACACACTTGGAGGACTTCCTTGTTTGGCGGTTAAAGGTCAATTTCGTACAAAGTAATCAATTGTGCATTCATAAGTTTAAAATAATAGGCATTTATAAGTGAAACCAAGATTTTGTCAATTACCAGCATTTGAATTTAAGATGATACGAAACGACAGACAAATAACGAGTGACAACATTTTTTTCCAATTGATCAGGCAACTTTGCATTAATCTAACTAGATAATTTCCAATCGGATAATTTTAAGTGTTAAAAAAATCATCTAATTATGGTACACAATCAGAATAATCAACCTCATTAACTATTCCCAAAATTGAGCCTACAGAAGGTAGGCTCTTGTAATATCTTGACATATGACTTCTGTGAGATTAATTATTCCCAAAATTGAGCCCATTAAAGTATGAATATAGTTTAAACACATTTACAAGTCATTGCCAAAGGAGGATTAGGTAGATTATCCAAATGCTAGAGAAAATTTGAATTTCCAGACTCCTTTTTACTACAATTAAAGAAATGTATTTCGCTCACTGTTAGCCGAATACTAGTAGAGAGACCTGGCTCTAATTACATAAAACTTCCCTGACTCTCTACAAAAAATATTCACTTTAGAAGAAGCGCGCAATAATTTCATAGACACCTACGTGGTATGTTATGAAAAGCAATAGATTTAACTTGCCTCTTGAATGTACCTTCCCATGAGACGTGGTATTAAGAGGTCTTCTGAGGATCGACCTTAGGTAGAGTTTATTTTCTCCCCCTAAATAAATGTTTACTATTTATTTAAGCTGCCTATTCACAATAGTGCCCTAAAGGCCAGGTGGATTAGAAGCGTAGAGAGTCTAGTCAAAATGGATCTCCATTATGGCATAGCATATAGATTAAGTAAGCAAATATAAATGTCTGTGTAACGCGTAAATAACAAATTAGACGCCAAGAAGTTATGCTTGCGATTAATCTATTTTAGAATTCATTTTCCGGATATATTGGATAGATCACATCTCAATCATACTTTCCTTAACTGATTATTGCAAGAAATGTTCGTTTCGATTCCACATGGTACTATATCATGCTCTTTCTAGTTCCTCACTCACAACTTTTCAATAAGGCGACTATAACAAAGTTTTTTGGCTCCTGCCACGCATACTATCGTTCCTGCCTCTAAATCAACCTTGCTCGGTGATTGAGGCTCTCACCTAGTAATTGCATGCTGTAAGCAGCATTCTAATTAGTTGCAAAGAGTGACGCCTTAATGGAAATATCAACTTTTCAAAATCACATTGGAGATATACAATTAATTATTCTTAAATCTAGAAATACAATATTAAGGGTTATTCTGCAGGAAATCCGAACTTTAATTGCTATATTTTTAACGTTGTGCTTCTTTTCTTAGGAGGTGTTGTGACCACCTCGCCAAGTTCAACATTTGACTTCGGGTGAATTTGCTTTCAAAGACCCACGTGAGTCTTTGGATTAGGTCGGAAATCGGGAAATTTTATGAGCGCATTTACTGAACCTCACGGGTAGGTGTTTGAATATTATGTTTGGCATGTGCCGTTCTAAATCAGGTAAGATTTACTTTCTTTTATAATTATTGGAGCGGAACTTCAATTTGCATACATGCATATATCCTAATCTATAATTATCCCATTAATTTGTACTTTAAAATCCAACCACTCTTAGTCCAACTGCCACAATAAATAATACGAATTACATCGATACATAGAGTGTGCCGCCATTCTAAAAATTTTTTTCTTTGTTTTTGAATTATTTCGACTTGTGATTATGTGAGGGAAAGGGAGAGAAAGGACGGTAGAAAATAATTGAACTTCTCCGCTGAGAGAAACACATCGCTTGTGAATGGGTCAGAGTGATTGCTTTTCATTTGTGAACTGTCTCCAATACTTTGCAAAATTCACCGTTCACTTTTTTCAAAGTTTGACTAGAATGAAAGAGCAGGAGCCATTCTTATCTGTTAAGGGCGTTCGAGGAATTGGGGAAGTGTGTATGGGTGCTAGTGGGATGATAGGTTGAAAATTAGTTCTGGAGAGCATTCGTGGTCTTGCATTTGGAGATGAAGTCGGAAGGATTTGTCGGCTAAGAGGAGTGACTTTCTTCTGAATATTGTAACAACGCTTAATCCAACCAAAGTAGATCACCACAAAGAGGGTGCGGAATCGCTTGCTGAATAGGTAGTAGGGGATGATGTTGACCGAATGGTTAACTGTAATGAAGAGGTTTCCGACTTCATTCACGACCATCCAAGGGATGGTAAAGTTTGAACTCTCACTCCAAATTCCCCATATTATGTGGCTTACAGAAGAGGGTATCTAAAAAGAGTGGAAAACTATATTAAAATAAAACCATCAATGGCAAATCATCTTTACTCTCAAAATGTAAATTATATTCAACTTCTTTACTAGTCAAACATAGTGATCGTTGAGTTCAAAATCGTAAATTTTAGGATGAAGCATGACTGAAAGATTTTCAATAGAAAACTACAAACTAAATTCTTCATGGTTGGCTCCTTGAGGTCCAAGAAGTTTAGAGAGGTGTTTGTTGTTCTCTTGACAATTTATTAAACCATGGATGGTACTTCAAGTTCATGTACGACACTTAAAATTAAATTTAGAAAACATACAAAAATGCAAGGTGAATTTTTACAAAGCTATTTTATTAGTTTCATATGAATTTGAAAACTTTAACAAAAACACACTGTTTCAAATCTTAGGAAGAATGTGTTTTAATTTGAAATTCAACAAATTCCACTGAGTATTGTTTTTTCAGATCGTTTATTTTTGTTGATTTATAATTAACAAATCTGGATGATATATCAACAGTCTTGGATTCATCTTAATTTCGACGCACAGCTTCAAGGGATAATGCTGTTTTCAAATATTGAATGATCAAGCCAAAATCGAAAACTAATTTTTAAGCAAACATATCTGTGAATCTATTTAGCTTAAATTTCGAATTTTTCAGTCATTCTCCCAAAATTGTGAGTAAACTGACTTTCCCGATATTTGGGACTTATTTGTCAGATTATGCAGTTAAATGTGTGAGGCGTCATCTCGATACGTTTCTAGCTATGATGAGCAATTGGAATCAGCACAATTTAAATTCACAGAGCTCATTAGCATTCGCTGGCACTGCAAAGATACCTCATTACAGAGAAATATCGGTGGAAGGAGGGGGGGGGGGGGGGAAATAATCAATATACTTACTTTTCCACATGTTCCCAATCTTTTTTGAGGTTTAAATGATATGAGTTTTAATTTTCATAATTTAAAGCACCGCTATCTTTTAATTTATTTCCATTTGACTTATCAGTAGTTCCCCCACCCCCCCCCTCCCCAACCACCCATTTTTAAGATTTGTTGACATTTTTCTACGCTCTAGTAGTACTTGATGAAGGTTGACAAACACTTATTTGAATACCTTCAAAAATTTAAGACTCACATTGTGTTGAAGAGGAATTTAAAAAGGTCTATATGTTGATATTATAGGAAACGAATTGATACTATTGTCTGGTATGATTGCACTGGAAATTTTGATAAGTGTAAAAACCAGAGGACAAAGGTTTTCCCTAATCGTGGGCCCCAAATGAATCACCCAATGAAATGGAAGAAATGCGTCATCATGTCATAAAAATTAAAATAGACAATTTTTATGTGCTCAAATCAGAAATTTCAGAAATTCTGTGCCTTATTGACATTAGAAGGGATGGCTCTAACTTTATGATAGGTCTCTTCATAATAGAATCAAAAAATCCAATGAAGCTTTGATTTTTTTATTTGGCCTATTCTTATTCAAAAATCCGATTTTTTATTATTCTGGTTTTTAACCATTGTAATTTCATCTAAATGTACTGAAAAATGATTAAACAATGCACAAGTATAAGTCATCTAAAACCAGTCGTAAATACGCTCTGCACTTTACACTTCGTTCAATTTTAGCATTGGAAAGCAATGAAACAGCGAATCAAAGAATAAGGAACAAACACCCTGAATTCAAAGATGAAATTGTAGGGCTCTTTAATACCCTAAAGTCAATTGCCACTTCCATCTGATCCTTTCCCTTAACTCCCGTTGGATTGTAATACTGCCTACTGCTTTTCATCGATGTAAAGTTATCACATTTTTCTTTTCATTTATAGCAATTTGGAAGAATATATGAATTCGAAATTAAAATTTCTCGTATGTTCCGCATATTAACTCTCTCTTTATATACACATTATTGATTCGTAAGAGATTGGGAAATTAGTTAAATCCAGTTCAGAAAGGCCATTTTTGTACTCATCGTTTTAAGTTGAATTATGGCTTTGCCTACGTAAACACTTACGACGCGATACTCCATGAAAATAAAATGACACAGAATGGAATTATTTTCCTCCTGAAAATTTACGGGAATGCAACTTTCATCTCGTGGCTCTGAGCATACACCCAGGAAAAAACATTAATAACCTCTGTACCTAGAAGTCAACCCTGACCTCCATTTTCCGGAAACCATGTAACTTTGCAAACTGGAGTCCATATATATATATATATATATATATATATATATTTTATTTTAAGTACCAAGAATTTAGTGAGGGCTCTTACTTTGCCCGCCTAAATGGGAGTCACCCAACAGGATGACTTTTTATCCCGAAAAGTGTACTCACTTCCCCCTCAATTTCATGAAATCTGCATGACCAAGGATTATTTTATCTTAGGCAGGTATTGAAATAGGTTTCTTGATCCGACTGTATTCAGTTTTTATAAACCAGTAAATGATTGGCATAACCCTGATTTATATAGAATAGAAAAAAATGGCTGCTATAGCCCATCTCACCACATCAAACTTCATTGTAATTAAGAGAACAGAGTGATGAAAAGAAGGCCTATTCCCAATAGTATTATCGTTAAAAGAAGAATTAATCAAGTTTGGTGAACTAGAAGACTTGATATGTGGAGACAGGTAATTAAAAAATGCCATCAAAATCGGCTGAATTGTGTGATTATTATCGTTGGCTTTTAATTTACTAATGAGATTTGATTATTGTATCAAGTGGGGAGTGGAACAGACTTGCCTCCGCGTGGTGCACCCTGGGCAACGTATACTCATACGACAAAAAAGTCTATTAATCGGCAGTTGACTTCTCACTTTAAACACCCATCACCCCCCACTGTGTGTCATATTCGACCCCTACACAGTACTCATCTTACCCTTTCTGAGCCTTTGTGTCGGTTTCTTTTGCATCTTTGAAACACCCTTCTATTCCCCCTCCTAAATTCTTCTCACTTTGATATTCCTCCTCCCCCCCTGTGAAGCCTGAAGTCAACTAAAGGGCTAATGATAACTATCAGTACGCCTGCCATTTGTTATAAATAAATTATTGCAGCAAGTACAATTCATAGAGAAAATTAATTGTAGCCTTCCAGAAATTTTCTTATCTGTTATCACTTATGGCGTATTACCATATTAACCCTACCTAACTTAATGTAAAAAACTAAATAATATTATCTATTAGAAGATTAATTTCAAATATCAAGATGAATCGCACCCTCATTCTAGTCCATAAATATATTATTTATTTATGAACACTATGGTATTCAGGTGACACCGATAGCTGAGTCATAGTATAATTTCCATATTCTCGTATGAGAACTTAAAAATGATTCAAAAGGCAATGTAACTGGATGATGAGTCATCGAAAAGTTTGACCCCATTTTTTCAGATAGATCTTAATTGGTGGAAATAAAAATTTTTCATCATCATTTTTTTTCATTAATTAGCTAACTTTCAATCAGGAAAAAAGGTGTTGTTAGCAACAAAATGCATACAGTAATTAGAAGTCTTGATGAGGATTCATAAATCATTTCATTTAGACTCAACAGAAAAGATGCACATAAAAACAGAGTAAAATCTGAAGTTAAATTGAAGTAGAAATAATTTAATAATTGTTCCATATTTGCTCTAATGTATTACTCCATTCAATATTGAATATTTTCATTTCACAGGGGTGATAACTTTACAATTATCCTTAATACTAAAACGCACATTAATTTAACGTTCATCTCACAGATGATTCAAGTGCTAGATAGCCAATGATTCGGAATTTTAAACATACAATAGGCTATAGTTTTAACCACTTAAATATATATATTTATTTATTTCAAATGGCAGGCGTTTTGAT